CTCAGTTCTCTCAGCAAAGGTTTGCCTTACCTTACCAGCAGAAGTGCAGTCTGAGAACAAGGCAGTAAAAGAGGCAGAAAGTAAGTACTTCTGACTATTCTTGCCGAGCACAGCTCCACTGTAAAAGGGGGATCAGTGCCTCTTCGTATTTGACAAGGGAGACACTGTAATCACACTGGCATACTTCACCCACGGATTTTTCTGCACACTGCAAGCTCTCAGCGTGCTGCACATTAAGTGAGCAAGCGCTTTTACTATCAGCTTAAAAAGCAGGACTGGTATTTTAAGGATCTGATCTGTCACCTGTGGAAGTCAACAAGACACTTTTCTACCGATGGAAACCTTCATGTGGAGGATGCAGTACACTCCCTATCCCAACAATAGGAAAAATTCCTTTTGAAATCCTCCAGCAACACGCTGTAAGGTCTAACAGCTTTCCCTGTGCAACGAAAGGGGAAGTTCAATGACCAGTTCCACTTCACCTTAAGTGCATTTTGCAGAGAGCACTCTCTTTGGACCAAGCTGACTGTTCTCCCGATAGCTACACACCTCTGCACAATCAGGGTCTGTAGGTTTGGGTCTCTGCAGAGCAATTCCTGCTTCCAGTTGTAGCTTTCTGAATATTTTTCTTTTGCTGCTACTGTGCTACAGAATGAAAGCAGGAAGAAAAGGAGAGCAAGAGATCGTTGCCCTTGCTGAAATGATCAATGGAAAGCACTCTGCCTTTTGTCTTGCAATCAGAGCTGTTACAAATCCTACCAAAAAAAATAGTTTATCTCCAAATAAGCTAAGAATTAGAAAAAGTTGAGATTAGCTTTAACTACTTGCGCTGTTTCAAAATGGAAAGGTATGCAGACAAAGCACTCATATATAGCAATTAAGTTTCATAACAAACAACACTGTCAACTTTCAAATAAATTACCTTATCTTCAAAACTGGCAAGTTTAAAAATACCAGAATTTAGAAGAGTTAGCTGCATTTGAAAAGCTGCACAGAAGCCACAAAACTTTGATTTCCAATCATCTCCCTTTTCAGCAAAGCATTTTGAGGCATATATAGCAGAATTGTTAATTGACAAGAATATCACCAGTTCCAAGTGTTAAAAGGCAAACAGCATAACACTACTATAGGATCTATGGTTTGCTTTTCACATGCAACTGTTGAGGAGAAACAGTTTTCAAGTATTTACTAAGTGTCCTCTTGTCAGTATTTAAAGACAGCTCCATACTCAAGAGTATCCTCAAAATGGAAAAAAATAATAACAACGTCAATAACTCCTGGATTGTCAGTCAATTGTTAAGAGTTCCAGCTTCTCTGAAGAGGAAATTAAGCAGTTATACTATTTTATTTACTATGTATTAATCTAATATTTATAGCACCATTATTGGAATAAAAGGCAAAGGTAGCTGACAGTATTCCCATTCCAGCCCTGAACTAGCTATAGCAGTCAACAATAATTTCTTGGCAAGGAAAAGACATTGCATCTGTATTTTTTATAAACGAATTAACAGTTTGGTTTCCAAAATTTGTTTTATTAATAACTCTTTGTAAATCTTCATGCTTGCAGGAGCAAGTTGAAGCACTTTGCCGATGCCCCTCAATTTCAGATTTTTGCGTTCCAGGTACAGAAGATACAAGGTCATAATTCTACTTGCAGCACAGAGAGCTGACACGTTGCTTACTTAGAAGTAAATCCTGTGCATGGCAGAGATCAATGTCGAAACCAAATACTTGTACCAAATACTTGTTGAAACCAAATACTTATATGGTGAATAATAGTACAAGAATTTGAGAGCAAGTACTTGGTGGACGAGAAGCTCAACATGAGCCGTCAGTGGCACTTGCAGCCCAGAAAGCCAATCGTGTCCTGGGCTGCATCAAGAGGTGGGTGGCCAGCAGGGCGAGGGAGGTGATTCTCCCCCTCTGCTCCACACCTGTGAGACCCCACCTGGAGTGCTGCATCCAGTTGTGGAGCCACAGCACAAGAAAGATCTGGACGTGCTGGAGCGTGTCCAGAGAAGGGCCACAAGGATGCTCAGAGGGCTGGAGCACCTCTCCTGTGCAGACAGACTGAGAGAGCTGGGGCTGTTCAGTCTGCAGAAAAGAAGGCTCCGAGGAGACCTTATTTTGGCTTCCAGTACCTCATGGGGGCTACAAGAAAGCTGGGGAGGGGCTTGTTAGGATGTCGGGTAGTGACAGGACTAGAGGGAATGGATTAAAGCTGGAGATGGATCAGTTCAGATGGGACATTAGGAAGAAGTTCTTCCCCATGAGGGTGGTGAGACCCTGGCACAGGTTGCCCAGAGAGGGGGTGGAAGCCCCATCCCTGGAAGTTTTTCAGGCCAGGCTGGATGGGGCTCTGGGCAGCCTGATCTAGTGGGGGATGTCCCTGCCCATGGCACGGGGGGTTGGAACTAGATGATCTTTAAGGTCCCTTCCAACCCTGACAATTCTATGATTCTATGACCTGTACCTGGAGCTAGTGCAATACTGGGATAGTACCACGTCATCACAGGAACCTGACACCACAGCATCACCTTGGGAACTGCCTGGAAGACTGCAGAGACACAGTCTCCACATACCTGCTCCCACCCACCAGCCTGACAAACCTTAGGCACCAATTCCAGGCAGGCCTGGGGTTTCTTGTCTATTCTCTTCTAACAGGCTTCTTTTTTGCCAACTACTTTGCACATAAGCTCCTACTGACTTCAGTAAAGGGCCTTCAAAGGGCAAAAACAAGAAGGAGATTGTTCAGTTCAGATATTAAGATGCAAGAAGTTCACATAGTAGCCATACAGTCAATTAAGCCATTGCTAAGCAACACAAGATGCATTCTTTCCCATTTACACAGATTGTGAAATTTATGCAGATTTAATGCTTGTTCACAAATTATGAGTTTGGTGCAGTGCTCAAAAGTACCCAATGACATTTGCTGTACTCAGAGAAAGAATCATGAGCATGTCATCAAGGCAGAATCCCTCCTCCATTCCCAACTGGTGACAAAACATATAATCCACTCTATACATGTGCTTTAACAGAGCAAACACCATGAATGATGTATCAGAGACGCAGTATTAAACCTACTGTTTTGGAAAGCTGTCTTGCTTTTTTTTTCCCCCTCACTATTGGCAGCATGACAAAACACTGTCAAAACCAACGTTCAGAGTAATTTCTGTCTGATTAGCAAGTAGTCAAATATTTATTCATGATCTGGCTATGAATACGTCAGAACTGCATATTAAGTTATCTACACTTGTGTCCAACTGAACGTTAGCTACCTTTTCTGGGGGGATTGGTATGCACGTTTAGTTGGCTACTTGACTTAAAAGGATGACCTAAAGGAAGTAATCTGTCAATGCAAATGTTGCTCCATATCTAAAAAAAACCTAATAATAAAAATGCCTGTACCAATTTTGTAAGAGAATCCTCCAGAGGTCTCTAAATTGGCAGCTTAGCAAGGGAATGAGGATGAGACATGGCAGATCAAAGATCTTATATTTTGCTCCTGAATGCTCATGGTTATTAGCATCCTTTTAAGCAGCAGTGCTTTGAACAAAGTCATCTATGTAAAAGTCAATTTACCTTCCAATTTTAAGAAAAAATATGGAATAAAGAGCATAAATTTTCAAAAATTCTTTTTAGTTAGCTGCCCATTAGCCACCAAGTTTCACATTTCTAATATAAATCAGGATCATTACTCCGTGACACAGGTCATCTTTCAGCATAAGAGTATTGTCAACTTAGAAAAAAATTCCACCGAGTGTGGCAAAAGCACACACATACAGACTGCTATCTAACTCCCACGTGGTACTTTCCACAGTCTGGAAGTCTTAGGTCTAAAAGAATTTTCTCTTCCTCCTGTCGACGCAATTACGTGACCACAACTGATACAGAGAAAGCCACTGGCTGACACACCGACAGGCAGTGGCAGAAACTGCCACAGAAGTCACCCACAACTTCCCAGAGCCACAGGCAGAAGTAGTCTGTGCTATGCTTTCTCTGATAGCAAGTCTGATCCTTGTAAAGTATAAACTAAGACACAAAATTAGAGACATGCTAATCAGCTTTCAGGATTGCCCAGCCCTGCAGTAACATGAAGAATAGTTTCTTCCAGTATTGGCACTTCAAGCAAACATAACCATGAACTCTGTATCAGTAGTTCTGTGGGGCTTTTTGCAGAAGAAATGCACTTAGGGCCTCACACTTAACCACCTGAGTCTAAGCCCTTAAACAATTAAGCAGGACTGCTTACACAAGCATGCCAATTTGCAGGATGAAGGTTCTTGGATGGAGAATACTTGCATAACAACTGAAATTCCTTCAAGCCTGAGCACATGCTTAACTAATTTACCCTGCTGGGGATGTAACCTCCATGTGCTCAGGATTCAAGGATTTTAAATTTTTACGCAAGTATTCTGAAAAACTGCATATCAATCTTCCGAAGAAACACAAAGGAGTAGCTAGAGATACGCAGTTTTAGGAAAGAATTCTTCTGAGAGGAGCAAAGAAGAAAGAAGAGTAGAATGCAAGCAGCAACCTCAGAATCTCTCATTTCATCTCAGCTTTGGCCACAAAGTTTGTGATAGGAATGCCCTTGAAGAAAGGAACTTTCTAAATAAAAATGTAGCTTAAGAAAACCCTCCTAATTCCCCATCCTTCCCACCCTAACCTAAACAAAGCTTTGCTGAAGAAACCTCAAAGCTAGCAGGACTTAGGTTCATGGAAAAGTTGAGGAACCCAAAAAAGCTGAGAGTTTTCCATGCAGTGAACAGTCCTGGTGTGGAACATCTCACATGGCATGGAGGCCAGTCGGCACAGGCTTGGGGAACACAGGGTAAATTCAAGGAAGAGAGCTGTGAAAGGCAGAACACTAAAACCACACACAGCCGAGGATGCCCCCAGGCTGCAAGTGGTTTGGAGAGCAGAAGAGTACTCTCTGGAGGTGTTATACACACTTCTACTCTCCTCACTCTTGTTGCTGTCAGAGACAGGATACCGATGGACTTTGGTTTCATTCTCCTTCTCTTCTGAGCACTAGGAGATGGAAAGTCACAGTCTTCCGAACAGCAAATAGAGAGGATAGATCTCCTGAGATGTCTGAGGCTCAGGTGCAGGACAGCAGAATAGGGATGCAACAAAAAGGACAGTAAAATAAGGAGGGTAGTGGGTAGGAGGGAGTGAAGCACAACATGCTGAGCTCAGTAGAAATAATACAAATAATCACTGCTAAAGCGTTATGTGAAGATAAGGTTCAAGCTTTCTTCGATAATGAGAAAGTAGTGAAGCACAAGGTCTTCCCAATACAGCCTTGAATTGCAACATTTGTAACAACTGGACTAGAAGTGACCCTTCAGAAATTACTTCACAAAAAGCTAAATTAAACCTACATGCCTTGACAGCTAAGAGGAATTTGAAAACTAACATGTTTCTTCCATCTTCAGCTCCCTGATGTTGGAGAAAAGAGAATTTTTTTGCTTATGATACAGCACAGCACTGACTCCTCTGCCTTCCTCACTATCTAGAACTGATAAGAAGCCTTTAGTGGACCGAGTTTCTTTTGACAGATACTTCCCCAAAACGTACTGCACACAGATTTATGCAACATAACACGGCCTTCAAATCTCTCTCTGAGTTCTCCATTCCCCCTGACTTCCTCATCGAAAGTGTGTGTTGAACAAACAAGAGTCCTGGATGGGAAGAGATACCTCACCGAATGCACTTAATTTTAGTACTAGAAACACAGTTCATCATAATTACCATGAACAATCTAGAAAGTTGTCATTATTTCTCAGTCCAGTACATCCAACATTAGAAAATGAAGCATGCAGTATTCAGCCCATACATTCAAAGCTCCTTTTCAAGTTGGACAGGCATAAAGATTTCACAGAAGGATGTGTGGCGTGCCGAGAATCTGTTTTATGCCACAGGACCATCCTGCAAGTTGAGATAAGATACCTTCCTCTCCTATTAAAAATTGTTGGGTTTTTTAGGGGGAGGGGAAGAGAGCATAAGGAAGACTTTAAATACCTTCAGAACTCATATTCCTACATTTTGAATTTTCACAAGGGCTGGGTGAGGGGAGTTATATTTTCTTTTCAGTAAGTCTCACTGTGCAAACTGAGTTGTAATAAAACAAGGTTTGGATCCAAGAGAAACAAGTTTCTCCAAGAATACCTAAACACTTTAGTTGGCCTATGCTCACACTGTAATCATCTGCAAACTGAGCATAGCAGCAATCACTTTTATTTATTTCTATACACATTTACAGCAACTTTTCTGGAGTGGGACATGTAAAATAGCTGCTGGGAGTTGCATTCATTGCTCCTTAATACATATAGGTACAAATAACAGTTATTACTTGTAAGTAATCGGCTAAGTTTCACAAAATCGGATATGACAAAGCCAACGAAGTGTTCTGATATTCAGCATTTTAGTATTAAATAAATAATCAACAGATACAAACCTCTTCTTTTGTTTTCTTATTTTCTGCTCTAAGTTCTTCATATTCGCCAATAGCTACAGAAAAAAAAAAAAAAGAAAAAGGTTAATATTGCAGCACCGCCTTTGTCTAAACTAGCTCTCCATTTCATCCTCTTTAAAGCTCTTCTGCCTATCTACACAGTTCATAAATAACATGGTCATAAACTTCATTAATAGCCTACGGACAAACTGGATACCCTTCTAGAATTTAAGTAATTGCAAAGTGTCTGAAAAAGGTGGTGGCTCCCAAAACAATTTATTTCTGATCAATGGAGAGTTAAACAATCTTACTGAGTTAAAAATGACAAGGTGAACACACTGGCTTGCAGGCACCATTTTAAACCCACACTGGCTCAGGTTACAGATCAACGCTGGAAGGCACGGTTGAAGTAATACTGCTACCCATAGGTACCTCCAGAGTTTTTATTTATGTATATACTAACATCTTCCAACAAGAGTCCTATAAGAGATTTCTTCCTTCAAACTCCACAGTAGAGACATGAAAAGATTGCACGATTTACCCAAGAACAGACAAGAACTCAGCTCCAGGGATCAACCTCCAGGATGGACCTGGAGTGAAACAAGGTATTGCCTCCTGAGCACCGTTCCACCCTTAAGACATTTCCCTGTTCCCTTCACAAAGGAAGAGATTTCTAGCACCCAGATGCAAGAAAAGGAATGAAAACTGTATCAACAGGTACAATTCAAGCTTCTCCACACTTCAAATCCACTATTGTTTGTTCATCTATAAGGCTAACTCAATACTTGCTAGTCAATACTTTTATAAATGACTGAAAAATGTAATTATAGATTTGCCCCACCCTTGACAGCTTTCCTCACATGCTCTGAATCATAAGCCCTTAAGGCACAGGTACCAGAACAAGTTACCGAAAAACAAGGATATGAACTTACACAACATTCCAGCAATCCCCAGTAAGGGCTCACGGGTGTGAGCCTGGGAATGAAAACTGCCTGTTCAGGGCTGCCCTTTCCTCTTTTACTGTGGAACGTAATCCATGGAACATTTATTATGGAATGTGAACGCAAAAGCATCATCTCCTTCATGCTGCACTCACACAGCAACTTTCTTCAGTGGCATTTGACCTTTCCCACCCCCTGACTGTCATTGCAAAACTACCAGTTCTTCCTTGAACGCAGCTAACACACTGGAAGGATCAGTACCTTAAAATAAGTGATCTTCATGGATGGCAACCTCTAGCTGATGCTCCCATAAAGATTGTATCATTGGATTTTTAGGTATGGATTTATTAAACACTAAATCTAATGGAGAAGCTGCTGTTTTTATCAGACGTGGAATGAGAAATAATAATTAAAAAATTACTTCATACATTTCCTGCTGTATATCAGATTCTTTGTTGTAAAAAAGCAGAAGATGAAAGTTGGGGGAAGTGGGTTACTAGGAAGTTTTTATATGAAAAAAAGCAGAAGATGAAAGTTAGTGGATTTTTTTGGGGAAGCAGGTTACTAGGAAGTTTTTATATGAAGTTTTTCAAGTGCTTAATGTACAATGAAGTTTTGAGGACATCTAAAAACAAACAAAAAAAAAGTCGAGTCTGCATAACCTTCACTGAAGCACTAAATGGCATAAAGTTGACAATGATCTCTTTGCTCTGAAACTACCCTAGAACAATTAATAGAAGCAGCACCAGGCAACACTTGACATATTTCAAAGCTCATATAGATTACTTAGCCTTAAAACCCTCTTTGGTAAATTAGAGATATCATTATTATTCATTTATAGATTGACAAGCATTAAATCCTGTTGTACGAGGACTTCCCTAAACCCTCTCCAAGAGTCAGGACTGTTTTTTCTCCTTAACTCGTAAACAAGCTCACAGATGACAACACACCCGAGCATGTCCAAACTTCTTGCATCTCACCTTGCCTCACTCAGCTTATGCTATATATAATTTACCTTGGAGTAAAGATATCTCTTTCCAGTATGTTAGCAAATGAAACAAACAAGTGAAGATGCTTTACTAAAGGTGCTAACTAAAATTCCAGAAGTACACATCATTTACTCAAAGAGGCAATATTGTAGCATATATTGAAGGCAAAACGCCTACACTGTACTCGTCAGCCTCCAGTGAACCCTGAAGAACTATCATAAATATGGACCAGAGGCCTCTTGCGATACCATCTCTGTCTGACACTAACTTAAGTTTATCCATAATAGAATTACTCCTGATACACAGCAGTGTTATGTAAACCATTTTATCCGTATCCAAGTTATATTTCTTTGCTTCAGGCCACCTTCATACAGCCCAAGAGCAACAAAACGACTTAACTTCAAGACTAAGGAAAGAAAAATGGTGGAAAAGGGAGAAAAGAACAGAACATTTTAGGTTATAGCTCTTAACCCACCCAAAACATATTCCCAGTCAGTCCTGCTCTTATTGTAAAACAGTCAAACCACAAAATAGATAAAATGAGTGAACACAGTATGTTCCTTCATCTCACAATCATGGTCATTCACCAACTACTCACTCCTCGGCTGAGCTGTCCAGAAGAGGCTGTCCTGTCCACATGTACCAATGCACTTTATTAATTAAGTGGGTAAATTTGTATACAGAAGCTCCTTTAATTATACGTTAGTCTTTTGATTTTTAGTTGTGAGCCTACATCTCCAGAACCTGGATTTGCTAACAGAAGATATGTATTATCTAAATTAGATGTTTTATATATTAAATACTTATTATGGCTTAAAAGCACTTCTCAGTAAAACAAGGTCATAAGGGTAAAAGTATGTAACGACTATAATTCATAGTGAACAACAGAAAAGACACTTTCATTTACACAGAGTGAGATGGTGAGACTCTTCTTAGTCTTTTTATTTAAAAATTCATCAACCTCTTTTCTAAAGCTGTGTACTAAAAAAAAAAACAACCCACAAACTAAAACCCAACCTTAAAAATAGTACATGCATATACTTTAGCACTCATACTGTAAACCAGGGTGGCCTTCAAATAGATTAAGAGCACTTCCATGACAAATTAACAAGTAATGCCACTTCAGCATTTCAAATCTATTTATTTAATCCAAAAATAAGTAAAGCTGTCAAAGAAAGCAAGCTTCGTTGTACTATTTATTCTTCTAGTCTACAGATCAGGCATGTCTTTGCTGGTACGGGCAAGAGAATGAACACGCAGTGCAGAAGGCCTTCACTCTAGATGAAACAAGCTATCCTAATGAAGTCATCTTTTTTTGGTAGAAGTTAACATCTGGCTTTTTGCAGGTTCAAATCTATTGTTAAAGAGAGAACTACCCCTGAGAGCAACACTGCACCAGAAGCTTTAATGGGTCTGCTGCCACCACCCTCCTCAGGCCAGCGTACTTGGAATATTAAAAGTGAGGCCAGCTTTGCTGCACAAACCACCTCTCCCTACGGGCACAGCAGGCACAAGACCTGTGAATTGCTGTCAAGAGGATAAACGAAAGTCCAATGGGCTCAATTCTTCTCTTGTTCCCTATTTCAGGCTCAAAGATCTGTTTCACTAAATGCAGGCAATTGCCATTTCAACAGGACATACTGTGGCACTGGCAGCACCAGCCACTGCTTCCAAGTGATACCTGGGACCCCACGAAAGAGAGACAGAGCTGAGGAACAAGCACTTACAGGTATGTGTAAAGGTGAATGTTTGTGATGGCATTATACCCTTTACAATGACTCCAAATCTTGAGTCAGAATGTATTAAGTTATTATGAAGCTTACATGGCCAAACTAAGCTTTTGGTCACACATGAGCTGCCCTGGCTCATGCCTACAAGATTCAACTGTCATATAGTGCTTATAAAAATAAAACAAAAGTCCTGTGTAAGTAAACAAATGTAAGCATTAAGTACAAATACTGTCAGATCCTGCATCTATGTTCCCACATGCTTTGATTTTATTCAAGTCTGTAAAAGCATGTACCAAGAAAATTTTTTTTAATGAATCCCCAAATTTGCATCCTGCAGTCTTACAGCTTCCTGAGAACCAGACAGGGAAATAAGACACACCGCAGGCTGATAAAGCTCAACCACTAAGCTCACACCACAAGATTTTCCTTCACAAGTTTCTGAAAGAGAGATATAGTTCAAACACAAGAAACTGAAGTGAGAAACACTTTTAAATTCTAATAAATTAAGAAAACATTCAGGCAGAATGGGTTCTGTCAGAGAATGATGACTGCTCGGTATGAACACCCACATATAGAGATACACGGGGAGAAAAAAAGAAAAAAAGATCTATAGGACAGATGACTACAGAGGGGAACATAGCATCCAACAAGATATCCTACTCTGAACAAAGAAACTCCTATAGTCATAAAAATTACCCTTCTGCCACAAAGAATAAATTTGTCAAACCACATTAAGAGTTTGTCAGTGGCATATACTTTAGCATTGGCGGTCTGCTCTTTACAAGATATCTAGTAATCCCTTATTCAAAGTTTCTGACTTTTTTTTCCCTCCATAGAATCACGGAATAGTTTTGATTGGAAAAAACCTTTAAAATCATCAGGTACAACCATCAACCCAGCTCCTAAAAGCCAGCCACTAAACCATGTCCCTAAGCACAACATCTACTCATCTTTTAACCACCTCCATTGATGGTAACTCAGCTCCCTGGGCAGCCTGTTTCAGGGTCTGACAACCCTTTCAGTGAAGAAGTTCCTCCTACTATCCAACCTAAACCTCCCCTGGTGCAACTTGAGGCCATTTCCTCTTATGTTATCACTAGCTACTAGGGAGTATCAAATAGATCTAACAAATACACACATGCACACACACACAAAAAAATAATCATAGAGGCACAATGCCTGGTCCTAGAGACCGAAAATCATCACACTTCGTCAAACCCAGCAAACAAACACAGTGCAAGATAAAAACTGGTGAAAAAAAAATGAGAATAATACCAGTATGTTTAGTATATGTGTAGTTAACAGTGTTGTTAACCACTCTAACTTAGCAAAGTGACTAGAAATGTCGCTATGACAGTGGCAGCTGAGGTGTCATTTTACCCAGCTTG